AAAAAAGAAAAATTTTAAATAATTTAAACTCCTTCGCCCCTTGCCAGAGATGTAGGTGAGGCATCAGCGGTGGTGGTGTGTGCGCCTCTATCCACAGACCCGATTTAGTGCGGGTCGTTCAGCCCGGGGGGGAGGGTGTGTCTGAGTGAGAACCTTCCTGCGGGGCAGGAGGCTCCTGGAGATGCCCCCGGGCTAGGGGAAGGGTGTGCGAGAAGAGCACGTGCGGCTGAAACCCGCGCACAAAGCAATCATTGTGCTGGGGTGATAAGGAACTGAAACCCGGAGCGGCAGAAGGATCGCGGCCGTGCGGGGAGGACGCGGAGCTACAGCTTGTGGGGGCAGTACCGAGAGATACGCTTGGTGTAAGAGCACGAGCGAAGCAGAAAGCAGCGTTTCACAGGGATAGCTTACATTGGGATAGCTACAGTTGTAGAGCGGGGAAAAGATTTCTGTCCCTCCATGGGCGGCAAAAAAAAATAATGTAAAAAAACCGAACGTCTGATGGATTTTTCTTTTCCCTTGAATGGTCTCTAGGAGTGGGGTTTGCAACACGGCAGGTGGGGAATGTGACTAAACCCACTGTGATTATCAGCAGCGAGGGGGACAAAGTAGTGATCAGAACGCAAAGCACTTTTAAAAATACAGAAATCAGCTTTAAACTTGGAGAGGAATTTGATGAAACTACCCCCGATGATAGAAACTGCAAAGTAAGTGAACTCTGGGGCCTCTCGTTCTCTTTTTTCCCTCTCCTTCCTCCCCATCCTGCCTCCGAAGCTCTCTTTGCTGGGGTCAAAGGGAAAAAATGTAACTTCTGCTACTACCAGTTGCAGCACTGCAAAGGTCAGGAAAAAAAGGCAAGATTGCATCTTGCTTGCCCTGCCTGCTTACACCATGTCTTGTCTGAATCATGTGCTGTTGCCAGCCTCGTGTCTGCCTTCCAGTGTCGATGAAATGTGTTAGCTGCCCGCTTGTCTCTCAACTCACATACAATTTAGCATAACTTTTTATAGTCGAAATAGTCAAATCCCTTTTTCTTTTCCTCCACCTTCGAGGTTTTAACATCAAATGTTATCCCAAAGCACATCTGAAACGGGTTCTTGGAGACTGGAACTCAAAGGAAACAACTTTTTCATCCTTTGACACAAATAAGAATTGTGTGGAGCTCATGCTTAAAACGAGGATGATTCATAGCCTTGGCTTCAAAATGGCTGGGACTACTTTATCATTCTAGATCCACATCCATCCATTGAAGAGAATTCAATAGAATAGTGCATGCTGAATGTGTGAGCAGAATCCCAAATACCCCAAATAAATGAATGCCTTTGTGTTTCTTGATATCTGACAGTCAGTTGTGACCCTGGATGGAGACAAGCTAGTGCACGTACAGAAGTGGGATGGCAAAGAGACAAACTTTGTGAGAGAAATAAAGGATGGCAAAATGGTAATGGTAAGTATAAAGCTCACTGAGCATTCTCATGCACCACTAACACTCCTCACCTACCTTATCTAAAGCTTTGTGAACAGATAGTGTGACTTAAGACACAAACCCTTAAACTAATCAATGGGGAAAGCTAGCAGAGATTTTTCAAACATTTATTTTGTTTTCTTTTGTGTCTTGTTTTACTGACAACTAAAAAATTGCTAGTGGCTTTAGGCAAGCTAGCCTGTGGATTTTATAGTGGTTTTGTTCTTTCTCGACTTTTGTGTTAAATACTCAAGAAAAAAAGTCCTGGTGAGCTGGAAACAATACAAGCTTCTTGATTATATAGGCAATGATCTGTTGCCAGTGCTAATTTAGGTTTCCTTAAAAACTTGTTTTATGTATACACACAAATAACCTTTAATTACATGGAACAGGTATTTCCCTGTGAAAATAAAATTACAGTATTGCAGGAGGTAATAGCATTTTCATATTTAATAATAAAGAGTTTAGTCCTATCTTGTTAAAAACTAGGATGAACAGCAATTGTGTGGGGAAAAGTCTCATTTTAAATTCACAGGTTTTTTCCTGACTTTTCAGAAACAGGACTATGGGGTGAATAAATGATGTAAGTTACTATAGCTAATGTCCAGGGTGGTAGCACTTCTCATGCTTATTTTTGGCATAGAGATGTAGCTTTCAAAAATAAAATGTCTTCAGCCATACTGATCTATCAGACTTGTTTGTCTGAGAAAACTAGTTAGTTTGTTTCCTAAATACTTGAGTGTCTGCATGGATGGAGACTTGCAAATAATAAAAACTTTAAAGCATAGAGTCAGTGCAACACAATCTGCTAAGTGATTCAAGGGAAAACACATGCTTTGCTTTTTCAAACAGCTACACACATACACAGAAAACCTTTTCCTTTGGAATTTGAACACAGTGAAGTGCCCTGTTCTACTTCAGGAAATGCCTCCAGAACTCACACTGTAGTTGGTGTTCTGCACAACTGCAGGGACTAAAATATTTGGTAGTTCTAGCTACATAGGGTACGGAATGCATTTCTTAATGCAAGGTTCTCCATAAGTATATGCATATGCATAATAGTATAGAATATGGGTATAGAGGACTTGGAGTATGAGATTGCACATCTTAGTGTGATCAGCTTTGGGAAAACAAGGGTTAAATCCATATTTAAACATGCTGTATTCAAGAAGTTGCATTCTCAAAAATGAAACGAGGCAGATATTTCTAACCTCACTTCAGCTGCCTTGTAAATGTGCAGTATGTGCTTCTTGGGTGTGAAAATAGCAAGGAGAAAGTTTATTGCTTATGGGAACCATAACTAAGGTTTTGCTTCCTGTTTGTTTAAAATGTCAGTAATCTAGACCAAGTTGTTTTTCTGTAAATTACATAATGTAAATCAACCTTGCTCTAGCATGGACTCTAGCATCTAACATGTGTCTTTTCCTTGGACTTGCAGACTCTCACCTTTGGTGATGTGGTTGCTGTTCGCCACTATGAGAAAGCGTAGAGTTTACCTGACCCCTGTCCAGATGTTACTTCTGCTGGATGGATTAATGTCCCGTCCGTAATCGAACGTAGCTGAAATGCACATTTCTGGCATGAAAGGTTAATGATGAGTTTTTGAGGGGGTGGGTGTTTTTTATAAAAAAAACTTCATGCCATCAAATTGGCATGCTTGTGCTGTATAGTGAAACAGGTTAAACTTGGCATTAAATTTCTCAAACACTTGCCTCTCTTTTTTTTTATGGTAAATGGAACATATTTTAATTGTTTTGGAATGCAGTTCAAACAGAAATTAAAATGTTTTTTAAACCTGTGCTCCTTTTTGCATTGAATCAGCTACTCTACCAGTGTTCTGGAGGGAGGTGTTTGAAGTTCCTTTTTTTGAGTTAAATGACAGAAAACCAGAAACGTGGTACACAACACTGCAACAGCCTTTCTATGTGGTGTAGAGTACTTAAGGAAATGAAAAATTGACTCTCTCTACTTCAGTGGCTTCTTTTTGCTGGAGAGATCTAAAGTCCCTGTCTCTATGTAGGCAGAGAAGTGAGAGGCTCAAGCCAGTTTCAGCTCATCTCTTCACTGGGAACTTGTTACCCAGTGCTGGCTAATGTCAATAGATGGACTTTGATGCTGGGGGAGTCATGGCATTTTGGTTTTAATAGTTGAGAGGGATTTTCATTTGTTTTGATGGGTTTTTTGAGGTTAGTGTTTTGGGTTTTTTTGTTTGGCTAATATGCAAAAGATTGAAGTAAAGTGCAGAGATTGAAGTGTTTCACAGGATGGAAGGAACAGGTCAACATGATAAGCACCTAGTCTCCACAGGGATGGGAGGAAAACAGTGCAAGACAAACTTACTAAAATTCCCTTCCCTAAGCTGTCATAGTTAATATGTACAGGAGGTAACAGTTTGCACTGTGAGCAACTTAAAATGCTGCTTAAAAGAGATAAACTAAAACCTTATGCCTGAACAGTTTTTCTCTAAAAGACCAGGATGGGAAATACTGCCAGAGATTATTAGGAAAGTTGAAGCAGGTTGGTGGCAGCATGGAGGAGGTTATTTGGAGAGTCCTTGTTTTCTAGACACTGAATCAGTGAACCACATGGAGGTACAGCTACCTACAGTCTTACAAACAAAGGCAGGGCTGAGCTGTGGCTGTGGCTGATCAGTACTCTGGCAGCAGTGTGTGTGGCTGCAGAAGGAGGTGCAGGGTGGGGTGTCATGCCTAACTTCCCAGGCCTAATGCTGTACCATGTCGTCCTTCAGATCTACTGTGTGATGTCATGGCAAGAGGTTTCTTTCTTCCCTGAATAGCTAGAATAATGTGGGTAGCTCATCTCACTTATCTGATAAAAGTTCAGACCTAACTGGCACCTAACTTCCACAAATATAAAATTCAGTATTACTAGCTTTATTTTTTCACAAAGAAACCAAAAGGCACATTCATGTCTCCTTTCTCTTGTGGGGGACACTATACATCTAGAAGACAAAGTCCTTAATTGTGAACCATTATAAATATATTTTATTTGGTGGTTAGTGGTAGTTTTAAAAAACTAGGAGCTATCTTTTTCATCAGAGAAATGAAAAGCAGAACTTGTTCCAGTGGTATTGGGGAGCTGCAGTCTCTATGCTTTGGGCAGCTTTGCTGCTATAGTGTAAGATATGTTTCAGCAGCATTTTCTGCCCTCTGATTTTATTACCTCATGTAATCCTCAACTTCATTACCTTACACAGCTTTCATCTGCCTCCCCTCTCTTGCTGCCTGTTTACCCGCAGGTGCATTTGCCACATGACTGTCCTTCCCAGCCACCCCTCAGAAAGGTGGGAGCAGCTGCTTTTCCTTCTTCACTGGGGCAAAAACACTTGGCTCCCCAATCTTAGCATTCATCTTCATGACAAATGATTTGTGGGGTCATGAATTCAAAACCCGAGGGTTTTAGTAAATATAAGGGAAAGAATGCAGAGACAGATTGTTAAGACTTGGTTTATAAATAAACCCCAAATTTAAATGTCAGTATTTTACATTGGAGTAACTTTTAAACGAAGACTACTTTTCCCAACATACATAGGGTCTGTAAGTCATATGAAACCATCATGAAGCTTATCGATAAAGGCTTTTCCCATTCTAAAGATAAACAACATTAACATCAAATTAAATAAGAGAGAGAAAAGTGGAGAAGCAGTGCCTGTGACACTGCTCAGAGGAGTGGAAAAGGGGGGAATACACTGACATACAGGACGTCCAGCTGCTGCTGAAACAGCTTTGCAGAGCCCTGGAAAGCAGATCCGAACGGAACAGCCCAGCGAGCAGTGGGGCATTTGAGGGCAGCCACCGGGTCCATGACACCATTATTGTGATCTGCTCCTAAACCACACACCAACTACTATTCCTCTAAAGAAACTACTCTGATTTCAGCAACAAACAGCAGCTCTGCTACCATAAAGCCTTGGCAGTGGAGAGTGATATTTACAATACACCTCAGCACTTTCCCTAAGGTGAATCAAAGTGTAGCTGATAGCACATTTCACCA